TATTGCTGGTAATATTTTGTTTTTTCAAAAATCTATTTCTGGTAATATTTTTTTCAAAAAATGTATAGCTGGTAATTTTTTTTTCTTGCAAAAATGTATTACTGGTGATATTTTTTTTTAAAAATGTATTGCTGGTAATAGTGCAAATCGAACTCTCTATTCAGTCGTAATTGATTTTTTAAGCTACTCACCCCAAGCAAAGTGGGAGTGCCACTAGTACGCAAGGGGCTACATAGAGTGTAAGTAAGGAAAAAGACTAGGTCTGGGAGTGAGGAAAGGATAACAATAAAAACGAAGGATCAAGTCAACAGAAGATGTCGACTGACATTGCATAATCTTCAAAAAATTATTATAATTATAGGGAAGCAAGTAAGAGGAAGGGAGTTCTTTCGGTAAGTACGAGAGAAGAAGCTGTTGGAGTAGAAGAGGCGTTTAGATTTAACTGTTTCGACAGTAAAGGGTGGGACTGAGATGCCAATCTAGTAGCAAGCTTAAATTCATGCAGTCGGGGCATCAGTGAAAATAGCTCGTCAGAGCAGATGTCAAGAAAATATTTATAGAAAAGACAGAGGAGACGTCGGTGAGAAAGTGACTGGAGCCGAAGCCCCAAGTCAGGACCAATCACAATGCATATCCGTCTTTGGATCTTGTCAATAATCTCGAGATAAATAGCAGGGGCACCTGACCATATATAACAACAGTGTTCCATGCATGGACGAATAGCAGATTTGTAGATGTGAAGGATCAACTCAGATGAGAAAAACCTTCTGGCACGACACAGAGAATCAACTTTCTTTGCGGTAGATTCAGCAACTGATTCATTATAGTTGTTCCATCTCAGGTCAGTGGAGAACGTGAGATCAAAAAGGCGCAGTGGGGCGCTCTCGTAGAGTTGAGCATCAACCATGCTGATAGAAGGCAGGGCAGTTTCTCTGTGGGGAGTAAAAAAACAGCAGTTTCATTTTGAATGCATTAAAATTCATAAGCCATTTCCTGTCCCAGTCAACCACAGATTGGAAGTTGCTTTAGAGACCAATAGCCAGGTTAACTTTGTCAGCAATGCCGGACTTTCTAGCGAGAGAGACAAACTTGCTTACCATTACACTACGTCGAGACGATAGATGCATTATGAATAGGTAATAGATATATTATTGAATTTTACGTGGCTGGTTGGTCCGGCAAAACGGATAATAAGGAATAGTTTCGGAACTAACGGTGTCCAAAAAATCGGTGGGTTATATAAATATATATATATATATATATATATATATATATATATATATATATATATATATATATCGGGTGGCATTTTAGCTAGTTCCTGCGAAGGGAGCTCTTGATTAGGCCAATAGGTAGGGGTAATAGATGCGATATAGGCAACAATAAACTACAGAAAAACTCAAAATCGATCGCTACATTTAAGTATTGCATTAATATTTAACCTTACCTTTTAAAAGTCCGACGATAATTCTTCTGCCGCCACTTACTTTAAAGACATTTTTATGTACGTAGGTCCTTACTTTCCGCACAAACAATTGCTTTTATTTTATGACTGACTTTCACTGGATTTCACAATTAATTTCAATTATTCCCAAATTTATTTCCAAGTCACAAAATTTGTTATCGTACAAAAAAAAAATGTCGTAAAAAAAATCACGTAAAAAAATCGCCGAAAACAACTGCAGTAATGAAAATTTGGTAATCCAAAATTTCAGGATTGCGGATCCAGATCCGGTCTGGAATGTTTTTAATTTGCTCACAGAGTCGGCCTGATTCCAAAATGGTATGATATGTTGGGCTACGTCCTCTAGGAGGAAAGTTGAAAAAGTGTGACACAGTGACACACTGACATATATCTATATCAGCATATAAACACACGCACATGCATAAATTTATATATATATATATATATATATATATATATAATCATTATCAAGAACCGATGTGATGGTTGTGTGGTAGCTAGAATTCATTTGTCTGCATCCTGGTATTCTTTGGGAAGCTGGACGTTTGAAATCGTTTAACGTGACACAATGTGTAATGACTATTGGGAACGAGGCCACCTAAAAACTATTATTCTATTTTCTTTATTATGTTATTATTCGAGGACTTTCGACTGCCTCAGGCAATATCAAGAACTGGATATTGTATGTATGTTTGACAATTTCTATATGATGGCTACCACCTCGCTGTCGACTATGACCATCACAAAATATCATTGTGATGGTCATACTCGACAACGAGGAAATTTGGATCACTTTGTCGTTCCAGATAATTTTTTCTCGCCAGAATCCGTCTTGCACGTTTATAAATCTATTATTCGTATTAGTGGCTTTAGTGCCTTGCATAGGTGATACCGATTAAAAAAAAGATAGGGAGCTTTGCTGGAAGCATTTTGTCACTATGCCACTCTTTCAGCAAAATCTGTTGTCCACAGACATTAACTGACTTTGCAATCGATAAAGATAATTTTTTAAGGAATTTCGGTATCTTTTCTGTGGCTCCGCTACTCTTTCTCTGTACCGTTGGTCAGAGAATAGTCCACCGAAACGAAGGATCTTTGGTAGACGGTAATTAATTATTCTCAATACGACTAGCGAAGATGGTACTTTAGCAGTAGCACATCCAGTGCTTGTGATTCAGGCTGTGTTGACGACTTCGGCATTTGCAATGAATCACTGCAGTATAGTCAATACTAATAATTGTATTATTAAGCGTTTCCTTATATAAAAAAAAAAACGCACGACTTCCATTGACCGTACATTCCAGTGCTACTGATGTTTGAAATTCTATTAAAACGATTTTTGAGAAAAGTAAGTTTCTGAAGTCCAGTCATTGCTCTTTCAAGTATTGATGGAGGCTTCCTTCTTAACCTTTTCTTTGAAGTACTGTTGAATGTCAATATCCTGACTATACCATTATTTTCGAGTAACGTGATTTCTACTTAAATAGACTAGACCATCCGCAAAAAATAGGGGGAAAGATATCCATTTATTAGCCCTTTCTGAAGCCCCGATATTTGTCAAAATCGAAAAAAAAATTTTTTTTTTTATTGATTTAGAATAGAGGGTCCTGTTCTTAATATAAATACAGTATCAAATTGATCCCTGACTTTCACAGAGTTATTCGTACTTACTTACGTTTTTATTTACAAATATCAATTTTGAAACTGTGCTTACATCATTGATATCTTCGTCCTGGGTCCGACAATAAACTACACCCAACAGCAAGTTCTCTGATCGGGAGATTTCGAGGAGCGTGGAATTACCTCTTAATTGCTGTTATTCCCAGGTCCACCCTGACCCAGGGTGGTAGCACTGGTTAGGGTCCCAGCTATGGGTAAATAGTGAACACCCAACTGGGGTCAAAACATAAAAATATAAAAATACATTAGAAAAAGTACCAACAATACATTTTGTTGTATAGGGATAAAGTGTCGTTGCCGACACTGGAGTTTGAACACAGGTCACCAGTGAGCAAACACAGTTGACTCCATTTTTTAATAAGTAGGCCGCGTGATCGTAAAGAAAAGGTATATATGGGGAAGATTGTGGTACGAGACCAAAGGGGGACTTGGGAAAGGCTGGTCTTTCACTATCTTAGTCCTAATTAACCATAATCACGACCCATTCTTTCAATACAATATGCTCAATCACCTCAAGAACTTGTCCATCACCTCCGAACCCTACATGTACCACAATACCACATATTCACAAGGGACCTAAAATATACCTCATGATGTAAAACATTTATAATCTTCATAAAGTCTCTTATAAAATTATATAAAAATAAAAGTATATATATATATATATCGTGGCGATTCTCTATACTATCCACTAAACTATTTCTCTATACTAATCACTCTATGGATTACTAATCGGCAGTTACTATTCGAACTAGTATTACTAGTGTGAGTATTATTCAACGGAGTTACTACTAATATCTGTGATTCTTGAGTCTCGACTACAAAGAGCATTACAAACGTGATAACGATCATTCGTTGACATCACAAAAAGTGACAAACGAGTAAGCGTCTGATATCACAAAACATTTTCATAGTAATAAAAACATTACCAGCAATACATCCTTGGAAAAAAAATTACCAAAGCTCACAAGAAAATAAAATGTCGGCATTAAATGACCCATAAGGAGTTGATATGCCGTTAAACAAACCGAACCACTAACTAAACCACAAACCAATCACTGATATCTTCATATTTTTATTAATTTATGTCAATTTTGGTTCGTTAATTAAAAATGTTGCTTTTGCCAGTCTGTCGTCAAATCTCTTTATCCAACATTTAAAGAAATGACATTGTCAGGTAATGTGAGGTTCTAAACTGTTTTCTGCTTCGTCAGACTGACAAAGATGAAAGGCAGGTCTACCTCTTTTATATGTCAAGTTCATTCAGGATGTTAAAAAAAAATGATAATGAATCAAACGTTGCTTAGGGACATGAAGTAGGGGAGAGTTACAATCATCATGAAAAGACACATAAGTAATCATGGCTCTGCACAACTACTTATCTTTTGTTGCGCTAAGTAACTTTTAAACATTTATCACCCCACTTTGTCCCTGTTCTGCCATCTTCATACAAATTCGTTAAATATCATACTCGCTGATTCTCTCTGCTTCTTTACCTTCAATCTGTCTCGTGAGTGTTCTTTTCTCCAATCCACCTTTCCTCATTCTGTGATCCAGAAATTTCAGCTCTCTTTTCTGATAGTAAATATAAGTGTCTGTTGTTTCTATTTTTTAAGGCTTCATCATTACTGTGTCTATGTATATTGATATTATTTACATACAGACTATTATCCTTGTCTTTATTATTATAACGTTTCACATGCTTGCCGATCCGGATACCATTCCGGGTGAATCTTGAACTGAACCCTTTAGTTAATTTACCTGAGTAGATTGTTCTTATTCCGTTGACTATATCTTCGGATATTTCATCCAGTTCTTATTTAGTAGTTCTCAGCTATTATATTTCATGTTGAAACACCACCAGTTCCCGTACGATCACCGGAGTTAAGCAACGTCGAACCTCGTCAGTACCAAGATGAGTAACTGCTTGGTAATACCAGGTGCTGCAAGTTTGAATGTGCGAGTGTTTTAATGGATAATGGCTCGGAACTGTTAATCGGAGAGCCGAGTTCGAATTCCTGTTCGGTTCGTTATATTCCCTTATACGCAAAGGTATGAATCCACCTCTTCTCTCCCCACCCCGGCTATGACTTAAGAATTTACCACTAAATAATTATCACATCAAAAAAAATATTTTTACCACCTAAAAATATTTTCTGGCTTTAAATAACCTGCAAAGGGTTTATGAGCCGTGTAAAACGAATCAATCAATTATTACTCATTCCGTTTATACTGAGTCCAAGTGTACACTGCCCAGCACACGGACTGAACTCTCAATTACTATGTCATCAAATTCACGAACAAATGTTTAATTACTATGTCACTAAATTCGCGCTTTAATAAATTAGGCTGTTGTCCTATGAGATAATAACAAATACTTGAACAATAGCCCGCATGTAAATTCCTCATCCCAGAAATTCAGACGGAAATAATCTATCTATGATGTTCGGTAGAACAATATTTCTGTGGCATCTAGTTTTTACCTGTGAGGAAACTGTCCTGCATTCATTGCCGTATATGAGATTAGATATTACATAGCAGTCAAGGAGTCTTTTCTTTGCTTCAATCGATATTTTATTATTCCGTATTTCTTCGCTTAGTTTTTGGAAGGCTTTAAAATTACTATTCTCTTCATACTGACGTCCAAGCCGGAGAGTCTTGTGGCTTTTGCCGAGCAGGGCGTTATCTATTACAAAGCTGACTTTGAGTAGACAACTAAAGTTGTGTCATCTGCAAACAGAAGCCGTCTGATCAGCTGCAATATAATTTTACTGTTAACCTGGAGAACAGGTTTTAATTCCAAAGATAAAAGAATTATAAATGTAAACGTAAAACATGGAACCGCAAATCAAATATTAAATCCTCTTGATTTCTACTAGTAAGATGCCTCGACATATGAAGGAAGGGTCCGTCTTCATTGTGATCAAGTTAGTATTTAAGTAGAAACTACATTTAAATTCTCAGTTTAAATTCATTTTTACAAAAATAACCAACTTCAATTAAATGAAATGCATTTTTGATCTTAATTGGTTAAATAAATACACGAGAAGAAAAAAAATGTTGATTTTTTTTAATGACATATCTCTTTAAGGTATAGGTGGTCTTAGCTATCCACAGATTCCTTTTGCCTTACGACCTTATCACGTTGAAATACCGGTTCTGGTACGATCACTGAAGTTAAGAGACGTCGATCCTGGTCAGTACTTACATCGGTGACCGCTTGGGAAAAACAGGTACTGTAAGCTTGAGTGTTATTGATATTGGTTCGGAATTGGAAATCCGAGAGCCGAGTTCGAATTCCAGTCGAATTCGTTATATTTACTTACGCGCAAATACCCTTGCGAAAGATAGGAATCCACCTCTTCTCCCGCAGTTATGGGTTAATTAGTAGGGCTTGTATTAGTTAATCATTGTTATCTCCAATAATTCTTACATTCTAAAAATATTTTCTGGCTTTAAATAACCTGAAAAGTGTTGATAAGCCGTAAAAAACAAATCAGGCAATCAGATTTTTTTTCTTTATTGTCTGTGAATTGTTATGACTTCTTGGGAATGATAGTAGAGTGGTTTCCTGTAACTTGTTCTACGTCTTCCGTTTTCTTAGGCGCTTTGCCAACCAAAGCTAGAGAACCTAGTATATACTACTATTTAACCTATAGCTGAGGGTGTTAATAATACCACTTTTTATTTTTCTATACATATTCCCAGTTGAATGTTACATAGTGTGGGGACATTTTAGTGTCACTCATAAAAAGAGTGAATGATTGATTCCTTTTCTACGGCTTATCAACCTTTTACCAGAAAATATTTTTAGATTGTAAGATTTTTTTTTTTACATAATAATGGTTTAGTAATAAAGGTTTTACTAATTAACCCATAGCTGGGGTGGAGAGGAGGTGGATTCATACCTTTCCCAATGGTTTTTGCACGTAAGTGATAACGAACCCAACTGGAAAGCTTGCATTTAGTGACATTGTAATTAAGCGTTGTTTCGTGAATTGATGACATAGTAATTGCGGTTTCAATCCGTGGGTCGAGCTACTTGGACTTAGTGTGTAATGAGTAATAATTGATTGATTGATTCGTCTTTTACGGCTTACCAACCCTTTGAAGGTTATTTAAAGCCAGAAAATATTTTTAGATTTTAAGAATATTTTTTGGAGATAATAATTATTTAGTGGTACAATTATTAATAATTAACCGATAGCTAAATTCGTTAAATATCATACTCGCTGATTCTCTCTGCTTCTTTGCCTTCAATCTGTCTCGTGAGTGTTCTTTTCTCCAATCCACCTTTCCTCATTCTGTGATCCAGAAATTTCAGCTCTCTTTTCTGATAGTAAATATAAGTGTCTTTGTTGTTCCTATTTTTTAAGGCGTCATCATTACTGTGTCTATGTATATTGATATTATTTACATACAGACTATTATCCTTGTCTTTATTATTATAACGTTTCACATGCTTGCCGATCCGGATAACATTCCGGGTGAATCTTGAACTGAACCCTTTAGTTAATCTACCTGAGTAGATTGTTCTTATTCCGTTGACTATATCTTCGGATATTTCATCCAGTTCTTATTTAGTAGTTCTCAGCTATTATATTTCATGTTGAAACACCACCAGTTCCCGTACGATCACCGGAGTTAAGCAACGTCGAACCTCGTCAGTACCAAGATGAGTAACTGCTTGGTAATACCAAGTGCTGTAAGTTTGAATGTGCGAGTGTTTTAATGGATAATGGCTCGGAACTGTTAATCGGAGAGCCGAGTTCGAATTCCTGTTCGGTTCGTTATATTCCCTTATACGCAAAGGTATGAATCCACCTCTTCTCTCCCCACCCCGGCTATGACTTAAGAATTTACAATTTACAATTATTAATAATTAACCGATAGCTAGTAGGTAGAAGAAGTGAATCCATACATTCCCCAAAGGTATTTGCTTGTAAGTGAATATAGCGAATCCGGTGGAAATTGGAACTCGGCTCTCCGATTAACAATTCCGAGTTATTATCCATTACACCACCTGCACACCCAACCTTACAGCACCTGTTATTCCCAAACGATCACCCACGTAGGCACTGACCAGGCTCGACGTTGCTTAACTTCGGTGATCGTAGTGGAACCGTACACTCATAAAAAGAAAAAAAAGAGAAGAAAATAATCTAAATATTAATGCGTGAACCTTTATCTTAATATAAAAAATACTATAAAAATTGATTTTACAAAAGTCTATCAAAGGGGTTCATTGACTGAAAATGAGAAATCTAAAACTAATCAATAATCTAAAATTTAAAAACTGATTATTAATATCCTGAATGTCAGAGAAACTATATTTGAAAATCATTCTTACAGTTTTCCGGAATGCTTCTTTTGTCTTGTCACAGAGTCATTCTTTTGTTAATTTTCCGTGACATAGAACCTCATACAATGTAAGGTAAGCCCGGTAGTTATTTTAAATTTATGTTTAAGATAAGCTCTTCCTTCTTTTAGCCCCGGCGTCACCCATTGACCGACTTCAATAATTTTCAGACATCTTCGTAAATCGAACGGCTCCAAAGCCCAGACACTAGCTCTATGTTCGCTGTACTAAAATCAATAACGATAGTGTTCTCCAAGCCGAATCTCTTTTGAAAATGCGAGTAGAAAAAGCCACACACACACATATATATATAATTCTGTGCCAACATTTTGCTTTTGAATGTTTCTTGTGGATTGATTTCTTTGTGTTATAAAAGAAATAAATTACATACAATGACAGCTCACCCATTCACAATGCGTCATACTAGCCACAGAAACTACAAATTATTTTTTTAAAGTGATCGATTTAAAACAAGTGTTAATAGATGCTCAAAAGATCTTTAGATTCAGCCTTGCTACTGAAAAAAGTATATATACTAAATTGCACACGTCAGGTGAATTTTTTTTTATGGCCACTCCTTTGACAAAAGAGCAGCCGTTTTATATACAGTTCTTGATATTTCGTTATGTAAACCGGTTCTTCTACATTGACATACATTCTTATTGTACCTTGTTCGCCTACTTTTGAATACATACAGTACAACAGACCTTGAACTAGACGACAGTTTAATCCATTAACGTTAAAAGTGGTTTTGTTTTAGATTCCTCCAATTAATTGTGCTATGTATATTTTCTTAAATAAATGCCACAGAGATAGGATTTGTAAGTAGCGAATGACTTGCTCAAAATCTAAATTTAAAAACGTGGACCACGAGTCGAACTCCATATTAAAAAGAACTATCCTCATTTTCAAAAGCAATTTGCTAGTATAAGTTCGATCCTTACTTGGTGTCCCATTTACGGAGCCCTGTACAGTGCCCAGTTAATCATATAACTTTATGTGACCTATTTCGCAGTTTAAAATAACAATGAATTCCCCACTTATGACAGAAGTCAGCGTTCGAGCCCAGGTAAAAACCAACATTTTATATGCTGATTTTCTGGTAGATAGATCCTCCCCACTGGCAAATATAATTTTGCTATGCCCCCATTACCCACCACCACCCTTTGGCCTTGAGCCAAACTAGACTCGGCTTAATAAATATAAAGAACCAATCTCTTTATCCTAAAATGCCGTGATGCATCCGTCTAAAATTACGCAAGCTGTGGAGAAAATACATGGACCCCCAGCTGCGATTCTCTGGTTTTATTCTTAATAAGTGAGTTCTCTCTTCGTGTATTGCTGAGAACTAACATTGTAGCTACACGATTCTGGTATCAGGAAGAAGTCGTTAGCGTCTACAATTAGAAATCCCTTATTATTTGACATCATGCTCCCTACAACTGCTTCTTCGGCACAACTATGCTCATATTTACATATTTACGTATAAATAAACACAGTTGGCGATTTACGAATGTACATCTGCCCTGATAGTGAAGAAGAAAAAAAATTTCCATCGTTTGCAAGGTTATAGAATTTAAGACACTAAGCAATCTGTACACTCGGCATTCACGTTGGGATATTTACTACGCATGCGTCATACAAGTTCATGATTTTCACTGTTTTTCTTTCTTTTTTTTAGGCGCGAAATTAATCCTAAAGAAACCAGTGAAACGCTGTCAGCCGATCTTCCCACGTGTGAAGCCGAATATTGAGAACGAAGATGAACCGACAGTAGTTCTCTTCTATTCCTCTCTGCTTATGAAAAGTCCTTTTTTACGGTTCGGTAGACATTCCATCTCAAGAAGAAAATTTTTTTTTTCTGAAGCAGTTGTTGTGATGTACAAAGATATTTGAGTAATTTACTCACTTTCCATTCACACGAGAATTCTTCATTTGCCTGTTTTAGATTTAACACAATTTGCTTTTTCTTAAGGTCGGGGGAGGGCTTTTTTAATATTCAATAAGTTTTTATCATCTTTTATTATGTTTATCAATTTGGTCTTTTTTTTACCACGCGGAGTTACGGATATATTCTTTAAAACCATTTAGGTGAATGTTTCCTGTACTGACTCTTCTAATGACAACGAAACATAGACCCAGATCAGACAATGAGAAAAATATAAATATATCCACTTTATAATTTGATGTGTGGGTTATGTTCCATTATAAGGTTTTTTTTTTTTTTGTTTTGTTTTTTTTTTACTCGTATCGTTCTACTGGGTCTTACGATAGTAGTAATGCGGGTGGTGTTGACTCCATTTTTTCTTTTGTCCGGTGTTATATTTTTCTTTTTCTAATACATTTTACTGTTACATTATTCACCTTGAAGAACTTTCCTTTTTCTTCGTCTTCTTCTTCTTCTTGTCTCTGAAATTGGCTTAGTAATGTTCGTACTCAAATGACGCAATTGAATTGTGGGTCTTGATTTGTCATGATGTTTTACAGTTATTTCCCTCTGCTGTGGCTTGCCTCCTACAGTTTAATATATATATATATATATATATATATATATATATATATATATATATATATATAATTCAATTCACTCCATGCAAGGCGATAATTCCACTAAGAAGCAAGAGGCTACTAGGAGTGAAAGAAAATGAGAAGACTTTAGAAGGAACCAGAAGCCCAATCCTAAACAGGAAACAAGCGATAAACCGCTACTCCTGTTCAAAAAACCGGGGAGGAGTTTGAAGCAGACGATAGGCGAATCTATCTACTCCCATTATATATATATATATATATATATATATATATATATATATATATATATATATATATATAACAAACACGTAACAAAACACGTAGTCCAGTAAATTACTGCATGTTAACGAGATTA